ATTTTATTTGAGATGTTTTTGTTGGTAGTACGGAGGGTATTTAGTTAGCAATGCAGAATAATAATTTTTGTTTATAAAAACTTGTATTTAAACTGAACACTTTTCTAATTTGCGAAACCATATAGCCGCTATTTTGCGGTAGGAGGAGCGCATCGCGTGAGCGGTTAAAGATTAAACCTTAAACTTTTACCAATAAAATGCAATAAGTACTTACCATAAGTCAAATGCATTTTAATGCCATCAACAGTAGCCGCAAACACCGTGAAGTATACAATTCCGACCATTAAAGCGCAATACTTCTTAGCTGTCTTTACGGACTCTTCATCTAAATCCAAACAGGCAAATTCTCTCTTCTCTTCGAAAAACCTCTTCAACAAAACCTTTATACGCCTCTTCATCAAATACAACATAACTATTTTACAATACAGGAATGAATGACCTAATAATGAATGTGTTAGATCATTTTTCTCCTTCATTGTCAAATCAGTCCGTAATTTTGCAAGGAATTCATTAATAAGATTCCCGATAAGATACACGTTAAGAATTATTGCGTATACGTAGTAGATATATTGTTGGATGGTGGTAAGATTTCTTTCTTCGTACCAGCAGTTGCCAGTACCAAAATAAAAAAGAATATCGCAGATTTTCTTCACGAAATATTTTTGTGGGTGGTCATTTTTTCCAGAGCCGGAAATCCTAAACCTTAAAATGGGTGAAACTATTAATTTGACACGAGATATATTATATTGAATGTGGAGCAAAGTAACAAGGTCACTATCATAAAGAGGTCAAAGAGCTGGGTATGAATGAATCGTAAGGGATGGGAGTACACTGACAAGAGCATAGCTTTTAAATAGGAAGTGATGGGGCAAAGTAATTCATGTAAAACACTCTTTTAAAACTGAACTCATTGATAGCTATTTTAATTTAACCATAAACCTCTAAAGAGTGATGGTAACCCACTTGCAGAAATTTCCTTCACAATAGAGAGGTCAGTGCGTTTGATGTTTTGCAGTAATACCATTAAAGCATCAAAGAAATTTCACAAACCTTAAAAAACGTGTACAGTCCTCAACCCGTATTTATTATTTATATTATTTATATATATGTATATTATTGGTCAAACCGTCTCCTTCGAGGAGACCGACACCCAGCAGGAGATGTATAATAGATAACGCACACATAATAATAACACACACACATTCATAGCCCCGCACTAAGGAAACCCATATATCACGGGTGGCATGGACATATACATAGACAACCACAAATTACACCCAAACTCACGAGAGATATAAAAGTAGATAATTCAAATATTTCTCCCCGCCCGGGAAATCGAGCCCGGGACATCTGCGTGGTAGTCCAGCGTGGTAACCGTTCGGCCACAGAGGCAGTTAAAATGAAAATTATGATGAACTTTCTCATCACTGTTTTTTTTATTTTATTAAAACTAACTAATGTTGTAGAGAAACTTTTGGAAACTTATAGGACATTTTTTGCTTTTAACATAAAAAGTTAAGTAAGTAAGTAAGTTAATAATTATTAATACAAAGATCGAACACTCAGAAAAAACACTCAGAAAAAATTCCTTCGATCCGGTCGGATTCGAACCGACGT